TCCTGATGCCACATTTTTCTTCATATAGTCCAGCTTCTTGGATTATTTGCTCAGCATATAGATTGAATAAGTATGGGGAAAGGATACAACCCTGATGCACTCCCTTCCTGATTTTAAACCATGTTGTGTCCCCTTGTTCCGTTTGAATGGAATCTCAATATAAAGAAAACAAAAATCTTTACAACTGGACCAATAAGCAGCATCACATTAAATGGAGAAAAGATTGAGGTTGTCAAAGAATTCACGTTGCTTGGTTCTACAATCAATGCCAATGGAAGCAGCAGTCAGGATATTAGATGACGTGGAGCACTGGGCAGGTTGGCCACAAAGGACCTCTTTCCAGTGCTGAGGAGCAAGGATGTCTCCTTGAGAACTAAGGTGCACCTGACACAAGCCATGATACTTTCAATTGACTTGTATGGATGTGAGAGCTGGACAGTGAATAAGGAAGGCTGAAGAAGAGTTGATGCTTTTGAGTTGTGGTGCTGGTGAAGAATGCTGAAAGTACTATGGACTGCTAAAAGAGCTAACAGAGCTGTCCTGGAGGAAGTGCACCTGAAATGCTCCTTAGAAGCAAGAATGACCAGACGTCATCTCACCTACTTTGGTTATGTTGTCAGAAGGGACCATACCCTGGAGAAGGATGTCATGCTTGGTAAGGTGGAAGGTCAATGAAAGAGGGGAAGGCTTTCAACAAGATGGACTGACACGGTGGCTGTAACAATGGGCTCAAGTATAGCAAGGACCATGGAGCTGGCGTGGGATTGGGTGGTGTTTCATTCTGCTGTGCATGGGGTCACTATGAGTCGGAAATGACTCGATGGCACCTAACAACAACATTCTTCACTCAATGGCAAGTTTCAGAGTCTCTTCTGACATCCATTTTGTTTTTTCTTCCTTTTTTGTCTTTTTAATGAGCTTTTGCTTTCTTCATGGATGATGCTCTTTATGGCATCCCACAGTTCTTCTGGTTTTCGGTGATTGGTGTTCAATGCATCGAATCTATTCTTTAAATGATCTCTAAATTCAGGACAGATGTATTCAAGGTCATATTTTGGCTTCTGTGGACTTGTTTTAATTTTCTTCAGCTTCAACTTGTACTTATATATTAGCAGTTGATCTGTTCCACAATCAGCTCCTGGTCTTATTTTGGCTGTAGATATTCAGCTTCTCCATCACCTTTTTCCACAGAAGTAGTCAGTTTGATTCCTGTGTACTCCATCTGATGAAGTCCATGTGTATAGCTGCCATTTTTGTTGTTGAAAAAGGGTATTTGCAATGAATAAGTCATTGGTCTTGCAAAATTCTACCATGTGATCTCCATTGTCATTTCTATCACCAAGGCCATGTTTTCCAACTACTGGTGATTCTTCTTTGTTTTCAACTTTCACATTTCAATCACCAGTAATAATCAATGCATATTGATTGAATATTTGGTCAATTTCAGACTGCAATTCCTCATCTGTGGCTTTGGTGGTTGGTGTATAAATTTGAATAATAGTATATATGGCCAAGGGTATATTCCCTTTTGCCTTGACATACCTGATCTTTCAGCCTGTGTACCTATCTACAGTTCTCCTTTTGTCCTTATCGTCCCTCCTCCAGGCTTCTGTTTCATCCTCTGCCTTTAAGAGATCTGCACCAAGATGTGCCACCCAGATCTGCTATTCCCTGGATGTCATCCCCTTCAGGCACAACAGAAAAAGTGCTGATCAGAAGCTTGGCCCTCACTTTCTAAAAGTTTGTTGATTCCTGTCCTACCCCTCTTCGTGAGAACTGTCAGCCCAAACCTTTCTCAGTTTTTTTTTTTTTTTTTTTTTTTTCTGGAAGACAAGAGTTCACTAGAAAGTGAATAAGTTCCAAGCAGTGTCCTGGGGAGGAGAGTTTTAATACTGATAGTTTTTATTTTTTCTGTTTTGTTTGCTACAAGCAGGAAGCATGGTGCTTTTAGAAGAGCCCTGGAGATGTAGTAACTATGAATATAGTTTCCTTCAAGGCAAGAAGGGTCACAAGTGAAGGAAGGAATAGACACTAAGAATCTGACTAGTTTTGATCTCTCTTGATAAAGGTATATCTCCTACCAGAGTGTTAGCACACCATACCTGCAGAGTGTTGAGGTGGTTTGCCTGTATTTGTATCTGCAGAATAATTGTAATAATAGAAGCAGAAGATTTTCTTGAAAGAAAGAACTAAACAAGCCTTAAAACTTTACGAGCTCTGGTGGCATAGTACCTAAGGCATTTGACTGCTAACTAGAAGGCTGGCAGTTCAAACCTACCAGCCACTCCTCAGAAGGAAGATTGGGCAATCTGCTTCCATAATGATACTTCCTCAGAAACTCAAGGAGAGGTCACTATGAGTCATATTTTGTGACTGTCTAAATGTGGGTGGACTCCTAGGCCTAGTCCTGCGCCAGTGGGTGCCATGCCAAGATATTGGGAGATGCAGGTATTATCAGTAACAGCCAGGTCTTCACTTTGGAAGACAGCCAGAACTGGATAGGAGAAAATCAATGATGAGAGCCTAACACAAAAGGGCTGGAGGCTGAGGAACAAACTCAAAATTCAAGAGCCTAGAGAGTTCAGGGTTAGAGAGAAACAACAAAATGAAAGAAGATGGGGGAAGGAATAAACATGCGTCCGTGTGGGAATCCTGAAGTCTACTTTGAATTCTGACAGGCATTTGTGGCTTACCTTTATAAGCCCGTAAATGAATATTCACTTAGGAGTGTCAGGCTGGTCTACAAAATTCATGGCAGGGTAGAAATCTTTATATCCTATCTTTTCTGAGTTAGATTAAATGCCAGATATTCTACCTTATTGTCCTCACATATTTGACTGGTTATGGATACTAGTTTGCAGTTTATAAAATATGGGCATTGTATAAGATTAGAGGTTTTCACTTGTCTAGATTCTTCCATCACAGCTATATTGTAAAGTATGACCTTAAATCAGGTTACTAAGGAAGTGTGCTCACCACTGTTCCAGCTGTGGGATCATAGAACCGCTCAAGAAGCTGGACCACTGTGCTCTTCCCACAGCCACTGCTGCCCACCAAAGCCAGGGTCTGGCCCTTCTTTACTTCCAGGCTCAGCCCCTGCAGCACCGGAACGTTTGGCCGAGTGGGATAGTTGAACAGGACGTCATTCAATGTCACATTTCCTTCAAACTTATCCTTTAAAAATTTTAAATGTTGCTATTACAGTTGGTCTGATATTATTGGAATAAGAAATATTATTTCAAGGAAACTTTATCAAAGATGGTAGAAGAGAAACATAAAATTCATATACAGTACAGTGCTGGCACCAGTAAATACGGACAGCACTTGTTATATAAAAGAAGATGGGAGATGGAAGATATATGTTAGATTGGATAAAAAGTTAAATGACAGAGAATTATTATCAAAACTCTATTTCTGGTTCATTTAAGACAAACATTACCTAATTAATGATTCCAAGGCTGGAGCCAAGCCAGTGGCCAAAGGCCAGTAGCTGTTTTCTCTCTGGCTCAAAGGCCTAGGAATTCAGCAGCAGTTTTACCTAAGCCTCAGTATATAGCCCTTGTCTCAAGTCCTGGCAGCCTCTTTGTCTCACTCTCTTGATCTCACTCACTGGGCACAGTAATTTTCTCAAAACATGAAATACCTGGCTAAGTCCCGCAAAGATGGTAGAAATTCCAATCTCTTCCCTCTCCCTATTTCCTCACATTAAAATGAGCAATAGCTTGTCTCATGCAAAGAAAACTCAGATCCAAGTTTAAGTTAACTTTGTAGATAGTATTAAATTATTATTCTCATTGAGCATAAAGTGGCCTTGTAGTAATTATAACTCAATCATTATAAACTGTGATTCTCACTGCTGTCGAGTCAATTCGACTCACAGCGACCCCTCCTTGGGTTTCTGAGGTGGTATCTCTATGGAAGTAGATTGCCCAAACTTCCTTCTGAGGAGTGGCTGGTGAGTTTGAACTGCCAGCATTCTGGTAGCAGTCAAATGCCTTAGTCACTATGCCACTAGAACTCCTACAAACTGTGATAGCTAAAGCCAAATTGCTAATTTCATTTACATGATAGAATTACATATATATACCTCCATGCAGTAATATTGCTTCCATGGCAATTTTCATGGAAATTTATGGATTTACCTTTTTTGTTTGTTTGTTTTTACTTTCAATGTGCTAAACTTCAGAATCCTTGAAACTGCCTATGAATTATCAGGTATTAGTTTTAATTCAATTTAGATAATTACTAAATCCAAAGTACTATGGTAGCTGTTAGTGGAAGATTACAAATAACAGGAAAACTGACCAAATGTTAGCGTATAAAAATTGCAAAGTAAGCTAAATATCTATCTGTGCAATCACCACTAATTTATTCTTTAGCTGCAACCTAGCAGACAGCAAAGTTTTAGGAAAAACATAACTAGGTACTCAGCAGGCATGGCAGAGAACTCACAGGCCTCAGCCCCTCTTCACTGTAGCTGTCAATCAAAGGTTGTCTTTCAAACAGCATAAATAAGTGGGCTGCAGACAACTTGGCTTTGGCATAGTCTGGAGCAAATGAACTAGCATGTCCTAGAGCCACTGCACCAAACACAATTGCTGAAAACACCCTAAACAGAAGTAGAGAAATTTAAAAATTAGCTTATATAATTAGCTTCAAGATGTGTGAAAGCTCAAAATCATTGTTTGCCAGTGTTTATCTTCTTATTCCCTCAAATCATCCCCTTCTACATTTTATTATGTCCTTAATCACAGCCCTCCCCACCCCACTGTCCATTAAAATCCAGTAACAAGAGAAATAGGAAAGGCAAGACTCCCCTGACAGCTTTTCTCTTTTTACGTTTGGGTTTTCTCTTGGCATCTCTTATTTCCTAGCATTAATGTAACTTCCCAAAATTCTTCTCTTTCAGGAAGTAGTTTATAGCTGAACCTGATTTATAATCTCAGCTCAGTTTAGTAGTACACCCTTTCTAGAGCTGGTGTAACTGGGAACTGAAGCAGAGTACTTAAGTGGCTCGATCAGTACTAGACAAGGAGTCTATGGCCAAGACTTCCAGTTTGTTGTTTCTTCTAAAATACTTCACAAATGATAATAATAATCCCTATAAAGAATTCTTATTAGGGAAAATAAGACTTAACTAGAAGTAGTTTTTCTCTTATAATTATTTATTGACAGTACTCTAAAACATAGTTATCCAAAGCTAAAAGTTTATTTTCAATTATAGCTCATTAAAGAATTAAGCATAAGAACTTTTGTAAAGGGCTAATGATCCTGGGATTGGATTTGCACAAAGCTATTGACTTCTGATGCCAGAGTTTCTCCTGGGAAACGGGTGGGGGGACAAAACAAAAACCCAAAAAACAAAACACCTCTGCTACCTATTCATAATGAAGAACTTAAAAATAAAATCCACATTCTCAAACTTCTAGATCAAAGATACTAGCTTAGGACAAATGAATCTTCTTTTCCTACTACAAACTTTACATAGACCCTTTGAAGCATTATTATAGAATAATCCTGATACTTTTAAAGATACTTACAGAATAACATCTCTGAAGAGCATATGCCCATTCACAATGAGATAGGCACCAAATCGAAAACACCCAGCATAGGAAAAATACATAAATGCTTGTGAAATACTAAAAGTAAAGCCATATATGTGTGCCTTCCGCACAGAATTCCTGAAAAGCAAACAAGTATATAAATAACCATCTTTTCAGCCTCTCTTAACACTGTATTGTATTTTTACCCAAATAACACGTGTTGTACATTTGTTTGGCAAACTGTGCAACTTCTCTCTTCTTTTAGTTTCATATGTATGCTATGCATGTTATATGTGAAAAATAAAGTACTGGAAAGAGCATGGCTTCTAAGTCTGGGAGACCTGAGTTTTAACTCTGCCTCTAGATACATAGTTTGGATAAGTGCTATCACATCTCTAAGCATCAGTTTCCTGATTTGTACAATGTTGTTGCTGCTGTTGTTGTTATGTGATGTCAAGTCAGTTTCTACTCATAGAGACCCTATGTACAACAGAATGAAACACTGCCTGATCCTGCACCATTCTCACAGTCTTTGTTGTGCCATGAAGAAGGATGTGGCAGTACACTTCTGAAAATACTGGCCACTGAAAACCTTTTGAATGGCAGTGAAACACTGTCTGATTGTACAATGAAGATAATCAATATAATGCAGAATTGTCTTGGAATCTAAAGCAAACAATTTAAGTGTCTAGAATAGTGCCTAGCTCACAGAAGTGGTTCAAATGATAGATGCTATTATCATTACATAGTAATTAGCATCTGATGACTCAGATATTCAACCCTTGTGCCATGAACATAGTCCTTGTATCAAAAATATCTAGGATGTCAAAGTTAGAACTAAAGTTGCAATTGCCTGATATATGATTTTGTTAATGCTAAGAGTCTCCTATAACTTGCTATTGTCTCTAATATAAAAATTCATATTTCAGATTCATAAAATATAGGCTCACTGAGGTTTATATAGGCACACATCAGAAATTTTTCCATGAGGTGGATCTCACCACCTCCTTATATATTTGTTTTATTTAAATTTGTTTTGCACCATTTCTAATTAGATCTCATGCTACATTTCATTAGATCTTTAAATCTTCCTAAAGAATCATAATTTATTTATATGCAGATGAGGAGGGCTTTTGGCAAGAGAGAAAATGCAAAGTATTACTGATTTGGATGGTTTTAACTTATGTGCTGTGAGTATGGTGTCATAATATTTAACATAAATGAACAATTTACAATGCTATGGAATCTTTAAGTTATAATCAAGTTAATAATTCACCTCAGCTTTCTATTCTTAATTGTCTTGAAGTTCAAAATAAACCATAACATCATAAGTAATTGTCCATATATACTTATATGTTAAACATCAAATGGGCAGAATAAATGTAGCTGTATTTTCTTCAGTATCACAGAAATTATACATAACTGAAGAGTTAGGGTAAATTGATAATAATCCCTGTTCAAAGTTGTGTGTTTAAAACTATTGTTCCAGTCTACCACATTCTAATCTAAGTTGTGTTTTATTTTGTTAGTGTTAAAATATATTCATTTATAGAAACAGGCCACCATGCAAACAAGTTTCTTGAATTGTGAGATAAACCAGTGACACAGACTAGGAGTCTTTATCTCCAAAGTGGGTTGGATCTGGTTCTCAACCAGAGAACGAATGAATATCCAAAATTATTTAACCAAATAACATGTCTCATCTTTGGTTCAGTCCACACAGTCCAGAGGAAAAAAAAAAATGGCCTGAATAATTCTCTAGAAGAACATTTGTCCTGAATCACCAGGTAGGTCACTTATGTTGTTTGCACCAGTGACAAATCCCTGTGCAGTCCTTTGTACCTTTTAGTTCTTGGAGACTCAATCTTACTGTATTTGCAAGAGATGTAAAAATCCAATCAAGTGGCCCAATTGCAACAAAAAACCACTTATATTCAGTGACACAATTGTTGGAAAAATGACAGCTTAATAGTTGTATCATTGTTTAGAGCACCAGCACTTTTATTAACTTTCGGGGACAATAATACAACCTAGAAAAGCAGTAGGTTCTTATTAACAATCATATTTATTACCTGTAAGGCCCATACAATTTTTCAACATACATTGATTCAAATTTTCTTTCCTGGGTCAAGGATACAACCGTCCTAATATTTTCTATTGCCTCTGTTGCAATCTGTAACACAGAACAGACCTGCATTAGAAGTGAGGCTTTTATTTGTGAAAAAATGAAAAACGTAAGTTTTAGGATGGTATCAAAGAATCCTGAAAATTATGTTAATGGATTTTAAATTGCTTCAATTTGGAAAGTGAAGGTATACTATATTCTTTAAGCCCAGCTGTAGAATAAACGGCAATCTTAAAAGCACTTGTGGTTGTGCTAAGTATGGTAAACTAATCTTTATATGTCTAGTCACTCAGGAAGGCTGGTCAGCTTAAGGCAAGAACAGGGACTGGTTCTATTCCCAGCCCTGCCATAAGACAGTTACATGACTTAAAAAAAAAAAAAAAAAAAAACCTCACTGCCATCGTCGGATCCAACCCATCGCAACCCTTCCTTGGGTTTCTGAGGCGGTATCACTACAGAAATAGATTGCCCAATCTTCCTTCTGAGAAGTGGCTGGTGGGTTTGAACCACCAGCCTTCTGGTTAGCAGTCAAGTGCCTCAGGCACTAGGCTACCAGAGCTCCTAGTTACATGCCTAGCCTAAGTAAAAATCTTTTGGGGGCTATGCTTTCTTCATGTGGTTAGCAAAGGACCTTGGAAGAGAGAACTAGACTAAGTAATGTCTAAGGGCCTACTGAGAGTCCCTTGGTAGAGCAAATGGTTAAACACTTGACTACTAGCTAAAAGGTGGGTGGTTTAAACCCACCAGAGGAACCTCAGAAGACAGACCTGGGAATCTGCTTCTGAAAGGTCACAGCCTTGAAAACCCAATGAACGGTTCTACTCTGCACACACGGGGCATTGTCGTGAATTAGAACAGACTCGATGGCAACCAACAACAACAAAGACATGCTGGAGACACCAATCATTTCTTTCCTGACCATGCCCTTCTTAGAGAAACTATCCATCCACAACTGGAAAAAAATCCTAAGAATAACACGAACCTGCCCACATGGCCTAACTGATTAAACCAGGGATGGGCACCTGATTGAAGCTGGGCCAACCAGAGGTGGATTCCTGGATATGGAGCAACTGCTTGAACTAAGAGGTACTGTGAACTCAGAGCCTAAGGTCATCACTTGGAAAGCCATGATGAATATGTGTGAAAGATGGTCTGAATGTATCGCAGTTGAGGAAAATGTTTAATGGATGTGTACAGAGACTTAGGTACAATAGAGCTGTGGCCCTGAGAGGAGCTGCCAGCTGACATTCCAGTTAACATAAGCCTGGTTGCATTTCCTGCACTTGTGCACATTTTATATCAAATCCCTTTTACTCAAAGCAGCTAATGTGGTTTTCTGATTCTTATAACACTTCTTTTGGCAGATGTTTGTGACTTAGCTATTTATCCTAAATCAAAGTTCTGCAGTAGAATCAACTCAACCATTAGCACAGGGAGCACAAATTTTAATTTTAGGTTTTTGTTTTATCAGCTTTGAGATAAATTTTTTCCTCAGTTCTCACACTTCTGTAACCAGGTGAAAAGCAGTATTTGATACTTTAGGCTGAATAACTTGAAAACTTTATTAAAAATGAAAATCTAATCTGTGGCAATAATAGCCAGAGTATACTTACTGAGGTTTCATTATGTGCCAGGTATTATCTCATTTACCAACATGTTCTCATTTAGTCTGTCTACAACCTTGGGAGGTAAATCGTATTATTTCTATTTTATAGATGCAAGAACTGACACAGAGAAGTTAAATAACTTGCCTTAAGTGCTAGAGCTGGTATGTAGAAGAGCAAGGGTTTGAAAGTGTTTTATTAATGTCTTTTTTTTCTGATCATGGATTAACTGCTTTGTGGGTTAACAGGGGTTAACCCTGATGCAGAAGACTCCTAATCTCACTAATTACCAGAGCCTGTGTCAAGATGTTTACTATGCAGCCTCCCTCACCCTCTTCACGGCCCAGTAATCAAAACCCTCTCTACTGAGTCCTTTTGGAAAATGGGAATGGGGATGGATATATCCCAGAACCCTGATGCGTTTTAACCATGGTCAATCTGTCTCCAGGTAAATGAGAGTTTTTCTTTTTAAACAAATAGAGGTTTAGTGGGTTTTCCAGGACTTTCTTTTTCTTTCTAACCCTCCTTCTCTCAGTTAATTAAGTACTTGACGGCACATAACAACAACAACAAAGTAAAATTGAGCTGTGATTGGATTGCTGAAATTAGCATTTAAAATTTCCAATCTCTCATCACACACACACACACACACACACACACAGGTATATATCATTTAACATCTATTTGGACAACATCCGACTGCATATACATCTATGATCCTCCTCTAAGTTTGTTTATTTTAAAAAAGAGAAAGCAGCCCTCCTTTTGTTTATAATTTCCCCCCTAATGTTTTTAAAGACCTCAATCCCAGACTCTTACAGCAGTGGACTATGGGTGGGATATAGGCAGTTGAGGCAGAGGACATGGCTGTGGGTGCAGGCTCTCAGACTTTGTCTGGCAGGCAGGTTAGCAGTGGCAGCAGCTGCAGCAGTGGTAGCAGCAATGGCAAGGGCTTCAGGGCCAGGCTGCTCCTGCCGCTCAGGGAGTGGAAGAGAGGGCAATGTGAGGTGTGCTCTACTTGCTCCCTATTCACTTCCTGTCACTCCACTCCCAAGTCCCTGCCATTGTCAGTTCTCCAGCTTATTCCAGGCTCCAGCAGCAGTAGCAGTGGCAGCAGCAGTGATGAGAATGAATGGATGCAAGGCTCCCATGAGGTTTAATATGGTGTTTGCACAATGTGCAAATCACATAACATCCTATTTCACATAATTTACCATGGATGTTAAGTAGCATTTACTTGCATGTGTGTGTATGTATGTGTGTGTGTATATATATATATATATATATATATGAGCTCTGG